ATATGGTGAGGACAAATATTACATGACGAGGGTAAATATTACATGGTGAGAGCAGGCTGTAAATTGTAACAGTAAAAAAAAATATTTTCTCACATTTCTCAAGTGTTTTTCGGCGGTAATAAAACCGCGACTGTCTCTAATTGGCTCAGAACTCTTTCAAAACCAAAGAGTTTGCGATACAAGCTTGAAGACAAAAATCTGAATTGACTATGTCAACCTGGATTTGTCGAGGTTAGACTATTCACAAAACGTACTTCAGACACATAAGAAGGTCAGGGTTAACATTTATTCGTACTAAATTCAGTAAGTTTCCTCATTTATTACGTAACCCCCCCCCCCCCCAGTGCTAACCTTGATGGCTTAAGAATTCAGGTTTTATACAGCACAGATAGCCCACTGTGCCGATTTGATTTAGTCACCATTCTGAACATTGTAAAACTTGTTTTATCATGACAACTATTTGCGTTTTATTTCCTTTCACATTAATTTAAACTTTTTTCCCTATTTCAAAATTCCGAGGTATAACTGATGCTAAACAAAGTGCCACAAACTTTATGTTGGCGCTGCTTTTCTGAGTTATAATGAAATTTGATAATGGCAGTAAATAGTTACAAGTTTATATTCAATAACAGTCAGAACTGTTAATTTCATTGAGAAAGACTGTCCCCCACACCTTCAAGTAACTCGCTCCACGTTCACACATTAAAACTGCTGATTCATCTGATTGACTCTGACGTCGCTAAAGCTATGATATCCTTCCGCCCGCTACACTATGAAAATTATTTCGTTTTTTGCTCTATATTTCTCAGTATGCACAAATAAAATTTCAAAGGTAATAAATAGATTTAAATAATAAAGCATAATTCTATTGTACTATCTTTTTTGTTTGTACAATTTTAGGTACTATTTGTTTGAGCGTAGTCTCTACAATACGTATACTTAACCAAAGTAATGTGCGTTTACGAAAACACAAGCCGAAAGCGAACGGGTGTCATTCGAGAGGTTAATGTTGAGGTGGTGTTGTCCGAGCTTCGTCACATCAGTAGATAATATCACCGACACAAACCATCAAACGGCTCATTTTGAAAAGGGTTCTTGTAGCACCATGGGTTTCAATTACGTGATGTTTTTGGGCAGCGTCCGAGAAGGTCGTAATGTATCACGGGTGGCTAAATACATGATAAACGTTTTCGAATCCAATGGACATAAGGTGACAATATTTGGTGAGTTTCAATCAAAAACCTGTTGGATAATTCACTAAAGTAGAAATGGATAATATAGATTTAGTTTTAGTGACTATTTATCGTTAAGTTCCGATCAAATTCAAATACATATATCAGAAATAAGTTTTACTTAGATGATTAAAATAACGGATTTAATATACCGTTCCAGTTAATATTGTTACGTCTCCGTTCGTTAATTAACTTTCCGTAACTTCGTTCCGACGAAACTTTAGCGACACAAATCCTTACTTAATAAAACTGGTTTATTATTTCCGAATACAACTTTACGATACACTTATTTTCAACAATCACGCTAAAACAAACGCTATAACGAACGAACGTTAACTTCAACAATACCCTGTGACTGCAGTTCAATTACTCCCTATCTACACACACATTATTTTATTTCGTCACGTTGTCACCCTCTTTTATATACCAGACTACCCTATATCTAGTAAATACTAGAGCATTCGCCAAGGTACAGGATAGTTCTAGAAACGTGGGGTCACAGTAGTAATGTGACTCGCTGGCGCAACAATATTATGCACTGTCATGATACTAGGATTCATGTCGCCAATGGAAACAGTTGTAAAGTAGTTCAAGCCTTGGGCATGAGCTCGTCTACACATGTCGCTAATAGAAACAGTTGTAATTAACTCCAACTCTCAGAATCAAAAGTCCATAGGAACAAAGTCATTTTAGTTTTATGGATGTGCTGATGCCAGGCAATATTTTTATTATTGAGTCATGTGTTAACAAAGGACAGACAAGTCCAGATAGTAGATTCCTTGTTGTAACCAGGTGTCTAGCCTATCACTATCTGCGATGTTTGATCAAATAGTAATTCATTTTGTATGGATCTATATTTCATCCACGTTCAATCACTCATTTTATAATCCTTCTCCCCTCCACTTTGAGTTTTAGTCTTAACATTTGCCCTTACACATGTTTATCGTAGTGCATAAGCTTGTATTTAACTTCAGGTGATTATTTTCAGTTTACTGTGTGAAGTTTCTAAAGATAAAGTTCAATAAACATGTTTATATATGTAAACATGTTGTTATTCGCCGCTTCTGTTGTTGTGTTGGTCAACATTACGTTTTCCCGCCTCATAAGAGCTCGTCTACACATTTCGCCAATGGAAACAGTTGGAAAGTAGTTCAAGCCTTGAGTAAGAGCTCGTCTACACATTTCGCCAATGGAAACAGTTGGAAAGTAGTTCAAGCCTTGAGAAAGAGCTCGTCTACACATTTCGCCAATGGAAACAGTTGGAAAGTAGTTCAAGCCTTGAGTAAAAGCTCGTCTACACCTCAAGCCTTGAGCAAGAGCTCGTCTACACATTTCGCCAATGGAAACAGTTGGAAAGTAGTTCAAGCCTTGAGTAAGAGCTCGTCTACACATTTCGCCAATGGAAACAGTTGGAAAGTAGTTCAAGCCTTGAGAAAGAGCTCGTCTACACATTTCGCCAATGGAAACAGTTGGAAAGTAGTTCAAGCCTTGAGTCTACATTACAACTGTTTCCATTGGCGACATGTGTAGACAAGCTCTTGCTCAAGGCTTGAACTACATTACAACTGTTTCCATTGGCGACATGTGTAGACGAGCTCTATGCCCAAGGCTTGTAATACTGCTTGCCTCAAACATCAAATAGTCCTCAAAGTTAACCAAATTTCCTTAGCTTCATTAATAACTTCTGTTCAGCTGAACTTGCTTCAATTCTTTCTCACACGCTATACAGACACTTCTACCAATTCATTTAGTGTGAGTCTATTATATCCTATGACTAGGTGGTTAGGGTGCTCAACTCGCAATCTGCGGGTCGTGGGTTCTAATCCCCGTACCACCAAATATGCTAGCCCTTTCAGCCGTGGGGAGATAATAAAGTGACGGTTAATACCACTATTCGTTGGTAAAAAAAAAGGAAGCCTAAGAGTTGGCGGTGGGTGATGACGACTAGCTGCCCTCCCTCTAGTCTTTCACTGCTAAATTAGGGACAGCTTTGTGCGAAATTCAAACCAAGGTATTATATCCAAATCCATTCACTGGTTTTTCACCCCTCCCCCACTTTGAGTCTTAACATGACCCTTGTACATAAGCTTTTTTTAACATTCAGGTGATTATTGAAAGTTTACTGCGGAAATTTATTAAAGATAAATTGCGAATATTTCGAAAAGTTCAATAAACATGTTTATATATGTAAACATGTTGTTATTCGCCGCTTCTGTTGTTGTGTTGGTCAACATTACGTTTTCCGCTTCACGAATCCTAGTATTTGTATCATGACACTTCACATTCCTAACTGAAACGGTATATTAAATCAGAGTACCGACCCGTAAGGGGGAGGGGGGGGGCTTGCATCTTTAAAGGCAGGGATAGATTTATTTTTTTAGAAGGGGCGCATAATTTATATCTTTCATAGAACTCCTTCAACGATCGGTCTTAAATAAAACAAATTGTAAATAATTTTGACATATAAATGTGTGGAGTTTAAAACAAGCTCGTCCAGTTTAAGAAATATTTCTTTGAATGACAGGACGTCACCCAACCATATAGTGATGTTAGACCACAATAAAGTGGTAATACCCGAATAACACTTGAGTCGGTGATTGTGTAAAAAAAGAAAAGCGATGTATAATTTCTACAGTGTTGGAGTTCCCACCCATTCGATGACAAGACACTTTGTTACCGAAACATTAGGACTATTGTGTTATGATCACGTGGTTTAATACTACATTGAAGCTATAAGCCATGATTAACGGTAAAAAAACAGAACCTGAACGTAGAGACCCTCTTATGGGTCAGGTAGGGTCCGAATAACTGATGTTTGATGTCACCTTTCTAACATACTCACAGGTGAAAATACAGTGTGTTTTGAGACACCACGGCTCAAACCCTAGATCTTTCGATTCACAGCCCAACATGCTAAGTACTAAGCTACGCCCGGCCCGATGAAAAAGATACGTTTTTTAACGATTAGCTATCATATAATATACTATAGGCTTCTACCTTAGACGGCCACTTTTCCAATGTTTTATTTTAGCGTGAAATACTTTTTGCACAAGGAAATTTGAACTTTTCCATGTACACGCAATTATGCTGTGTCTTGTTTTAGATAAATTTCAATATTAATGGTAATTATTTCGGTAAAAGAAAACTTAGCAGCAGAGATCAACCTAAAAACACGGTTCTTCTTTCCAGATCCCCAGGAAATGGAATTCCCCATGCTAAAGAAACCTCTTCATTTTCACCGTTCCAACGAACAGCCTCCCGATTGGTTAGTCAAGCACAATAAGACCATACAGGATGCTGACGGCTACGTGGTCATCTCGGCCGAATACAACCGTGCCATTCCTCCAGCTCTTACCAACATGATGAATCACTTTCCTCCCGCGTCGTACAAGTACAAACCTTGTGGAATTGTTTGTTATTCCCTTGGTAAGTCTCAAGTGGTGACACTGTTCGTGACGTCATGATGCCGCCACTTGGTAGCTTGTTTTGATAATTTTATATTACTAGATTATACAAAAAAAAATAATTTTGGTTTAGATTAAAAGGTACAAAACACAATATACTAAGAAACCCAATAAAGAGGGGGGGGGTGGCTAAATATTCAAGTGTCACATCGTATAACCCTAATATAATACGATTCTGGGGTAACGGAAACACATCACTTCCATATAGCGGAAGTTAATGCCATATTATATATATATATATATATATATACACACACACACAG